CGGTCCTACGCTGGCTGGCAGTAGTTGAAAATAACAGTGGGTCAGGCCAGTCACTCACAGCCTGAACGAACATTTCAGACTAGCATGCAATCCAAAAAGGAAAGATAAAAGATAAGCACGAAGAGCTATGGCTAGTCTTCAGAGTTGTTTCCCCCTGGGGACAGTTGTTTGATTCTCCTATGGCCTTTGACCACAGAGACTCTTCCAGAAATTCAAGCCTCATGAAAGTTTGAAATATTTGAGAAAAATATCAGAGCCTCAAAGAAACTGAGGTTTACTGATATCAAATAATTGGGATGTTTACAGCAACAGAATAATGTCTCATTTCTTAACTTTTATGAAAGCTACTGATATCTGTTCATATACTGAAAATGTCAGGAGGAACAGACACCAAACTATTAACACTGACTCCTATTAACACTGACTCCTCAGAAGTAGCCTTTGAAGCAGAAGATATTTAATTTCTTATTTTACTTTTTTATTGTTTGTGTGGTTACAACAAACACACATGATTTTAAGTATGAAGTGTTACTCTCTAAATATCAAAACAAAGAACTAAAATAAAGAAGCTTACAAAACCTGCTGATAAATGCAATTTGGGTCTCAAAACTAATGGCAAATTACTTTATCTCAATATTAGAGCATAATTAGGACTTTGATACTTGATCAATTTTTTCCCTGCCCCATTAATGGAAATCAGCCTAATTCCAGTCTATTTCCCAGATTGATTTAGGAAGATTTCCTTTCAAAAGATCTATCAATTGGGTTTACAACTTGGCTTCAAGAAGTAACAGAAACTTAATTACAGGAGCTTCACTAAATAGAGGGTTGTTTTATTCACATAATAAAAAGCCTAGAGATAAGCACACCAGGCAGTTTCACATAATGAAAAGTCCAGAATCCTCTTAGCCTTTTCTTCTCTGAGTCTAACTGCCTGAGTTTGCACATACATCACTGAGGCAAGGTATTTAAATGTCTTTGTTCCTCACTCACCCCATCTGTACAATTGGAGATAATATTATCTACCTTGTGGGGTTATTGCGAGTATTCAGTGAGACCATACATGTAAGTACTTAGACCTTTGCCTAACACATAGTCAGTGCTCCATAAATGTTAGTAGCTATCATTAGTAAGATTTTTTTTTCCAAATGAGTGAGAAATAGAATATTTGCAGGTGGTGAATTATAGATTTTTGATAAGTCTTCATATTTTGACTCCATTTTCAAGGAGAAATTTATCATGACATTATAAAGACTATTTAGCATAAGAGGCAGTTCTTATAAGATTGAGAATCATAATTTGCCCACCAATTTCAAAAGGTTTGTGATGGGGTTGACTACATGACATCAAAGATTTCTTTCTTTTATAAAAAAACCTGTTTGGTTTTAAATTTTGATTTCCAGATTGAGGCTATCCCTAAAGATGATTCTACATTATCTGAGAGAAGGAGAGAACTCCACAAGGAAGTTGAAGTAGCTAAGAGGAATTTGACCCAACAGGTTAATATCAACTTTCACTTAAGCTTCTATCTAAGAGTGATTAATACGAAGTTATGTTCTTAACTGTGTTCCACGAAATCTCATTAATAGAAGAGTCATTAAAGAGAGTATGACCCTATTTAATGTGGGTCTGTTTCTTCATCTCAAAGTTCATCCCAAACGCACATTAAATTTGGAGGGAAAAAAGGATATGTTTAAACCAACAAAAATCATACAAATTCATGAGATTTTAAAGTAAAAAGGCTACTGATTTAAAAATTAACAATAAATGTTTTATGTTAACAACATCTAACTTCAGATTTTGTTTATTCAAGTCTCTTTCAAAGTATTTTAACACATGCTTTTATTTCTCTTTGAAAAGTTACTTGAAAATAGTCTGATTAAGAAAAAGTTCTATCATGTTATACATGTTATCATGTTTGCACATTCTTTTATAAGATAAAGAAGATACTTGGCACTAAGGCAGCAGGGTTACTTTGTGTTTTAATAAAATAAACTGCATAGAAAAATTTAAAAGTAGTCTGAGATACTGGCCTTACTGTGTTTCTTCAAATAAATACATTATAATACTTGTGTTTTTCAAAAGAAAATCCTATCAGAAGCCGAGCTGAAGTTAGTAGAACAGCAACTTGCAGAAGAAAACAAGCTTTTAAAGCAGCAAGAAAACATGCAAGAGCTGGTATTCAACCTCGTCCGTATGACTCAAATCAAAATTGATGAGAAAGAGCAAAAGTCCAAGGATTTCCTGAAAGCTCAGGTAATGGGATTTTTCTAATCATCCATTAATTCCTACAGGAGCCCAGGGCAGCCTCACTTTAACACAATGTTCACTAGAAAGCTATGGTTTTAAGTCTTGTCCAAGTGCCAGCGACCATACAGCTTCCCTACACAAGACTTAACCACGCACTGAAAAATAGTCCCAGGATTCAATTAGCAACTCAACAGTGTAGAGGGAAAAAGAACTAGATCAATGGCCAGAAGCAGAGGATTTGAACTGATGGCAATTTCAGTGAGAATGGGGCGGGTACCTCCAGGGGACAGAGCCGGCCGCCCCACAGGCACAGGTGTCTGTGTTCTCCTGCGTCTCACATCCCAGTGTGATTGGCCCAGATCAACGCGGGGGCCACAACTTGGGACCACTCTCCAAGTTCATCGAGCCAGCATCATTTACACCAATGGTAGGACCATTACCTTTAGTACTGCTTCAGCCCATGACTTTTTCCTGGGTTCCTGACAAAGTACCAGAGCTGACCCAGTGCAACATCCCCAAACAAAACCAGCAATGAAACCAATAGCAAAAACAACCCTCCTGTGATGGGGGTAGAATGAGCTGGAAGGCCAGGATGCCATCTTCAAGCAGTTCCATTTCAAAGACTTCAATAGGGCTTTTGGCTTCATGACAGAAATGCTCCTGCAGGCTGAGAAATCGGACCCCATCCTGAAGGGTTTAATGTGTACCATAAGTTTCACATCATCCTGAGCACCCACGAGTGTGCGGGCCTTTCAAAACGTAACATAAACCGGGCTAGCTTCACTGAGCAAGTAGCAGGGTCCGTGACAAGAGACCCTGCCCTTCCTCTCTGAGTTCTTCAGGTCAAAGTGGGGGATGGAGCTGGGGTTGGGAACGGGGTTGGGAGGCTCCGAGTTGTCACTGCTGCCAGAACTGCCAAATCGACCCTACTGCCTTCGTTTAGGGGCAAGTCCTTGCTGTGGGAGGAGACGTCAGCATCACTGCCAGCACCAGGAACTTAGGCTGTCCTTCCCACACCACTCTCTTCCTGTTCTCATGGCTCTGTTACGTGCACAATGATTTGAATAAGATCTTCCCTTTCTTTACGACTTCCCAGCAACAGTAATGATTTTCTTTCCCGGCCATGTCTTGCTCCCTTTCTAATTTGTATCCCAAGAAGCAGCCATGAGTGAAGCTGTGTCTAACATAAAGTCTTAACTTAGAAACCAGGACCCTCAAGTTACCCTCATCCTATGTGACAGAAACACATGCGCTCTTATGCCTCAAATAAAACCGTGGGTTCACTTGGGGGGGAAAAAAACAGTGAACAGTGCCCAGTGCAAGAGCAACTGCTGCCACCATGACGGCGGCCTGAGCCTGACCTGCTGCGCCCCAAGGCCCGGGAGGACGGCGAGGGCTCCACCTGGCCGCTCCGTGGGGTTTATTCCACGGGTCCCTGTGAGCGGGGCCTGACCTGTGAGGGGGACAAGACCACCGTGGGCTCCATAACCAACACCAACTTTGGCACCTGCCACGATGCCGGACACCCCAGTGAGCGAAAGCACTCGTCCAGCCCCGCACCAGGCCCAGTGCGCCGAAGGGCACTCCTCCCACCTGGCCTCTCCGGGGCTGGCCGCTCCCTTCCCTTGACCAGCACCTCTGACTTCTAATTGGGTTCTTGGCAATTAAAGCCCCTCCTGCAAACCTTCCCAAAAATACCCCCCCCCACAAAACCTAAAAGAAGTTTAGTGTGGTTGGGGCATTGGAAGATGGGGGAAAGCATGTCAAATAGTGAGACCAGAGCGCAGGAAAGGTCAGGTGGTCAAGTTCGCTTTATCCCTGTTGAGCAGTTTGGACCCTGGTCCCAGAAACTGCTACAAAGCCCAGTAAAGTTCATGGGGTAGCTGGGTTTCAGTAAAGAAAGGAAAGGCAGTAGCCAAGGAGGAACAGAGAATGAGGGTGGCCTGAGGGAACAGGAACAAAACGAGGAGAGGGAAGGGCAGAGGGCTTATTACAAAGAACATGGCCCTGTTTTATCTTTAAACTAAACTAAAACACTGATCCATGTGTATCTCTGTGTGGCTCATCTGCATTAGCCAAACATCATTATTAAATGAGCTAATTCAGTTCTTTAATTGATCTCAAAGTTTTTTCTCTTGAAATACGGAAGTCGATAAACGGAAAATATTGTCCTTAAGTATTTTTAGCCTTGGGAACCGTCTGTTAAACATTAGCTTTAACAAACTATAATTTCTGTTGTCAGTCTTATTTATTTTCACCTCTCATCTACATCTCCAAGGAAAGACAAAAAGTGAAGGAGGAAAAAAATCAATGTTGCTATCACCCCCAAGATGGACGAGATATTTTTCTGTCTCTTTAATTCTTCACACACATAGTTACCTATATAATATCAGTTTCTTCCCAACTCCTGTTCTCACTGAGAACATAAAATTGCCACACATCAATCTTGGCCCTGAGGCCTAGGTTCTTTTGAATCGCTCATGCCCTGTGAGTTTTGCTCTCATGAAAAGGCTGACAGAAACGATTTCCTCCGGTTTCTACTAACAAAATACTGTGCTTCACCTTTGAATACGTTTCTCACCCTGGATGAAGGACCCAGTGTCTCTGTATTTGAAGAACATAACTAGTGTCTTTAGCACTTGGTATATTTTGAGGACTTCAGAAATATAACTGCTATCTTTTTTAAATATTCGTGTGTAACCTGCGTAACGTCTCCCCGTGGCTGGTCTCTCAGCCCGGCACTTCGTTTTGTGGTAGGGAGACACACCCGCCACACAAAAGAATGGAAAAGCGTTTTAAAAACCACGGCTTCAGTCTCTCACAAAATACCACAGCGGCGTCAGTTCGTAACATTTATGAAAACTGACTACCACCCCCGTCCCTCACCTATCCGCCACAAATCCCTTGCTCACCCAGCCCGGCCGCCACAGCCACGGCTCGGCTCCTCAGAAGTTCCCTCAAGTCTTCCTCAAGCCAACCTGGGCAGGCGCCTTCCCGTGCCTCCTCTCTTGCTCCTTCTCTTCTTTCAGTAACCTTTGGTCCTAGTCAGTGTGATTCAGGTCAGCTGGTCAGGCAGTTTTCGGCTCCTCCCCCCACTCTCCGCGCGCTTCACAACCCAGCTGGCCAAGGTTGACTTGATTGCCAGGAACGAGGTGAGCCTGGAAGTATCCATATGTTGCCACTGGTGGGCTCTGTTTTTTAATTTCACACGTAATTTTTATATTTCAGCAAAAATATACCAACATTGTTAAGGAGATCAAAGCCAAGGATCTTGAAATCAGGATACACAGGAAGAAAAAACGTGAAATTCATAGGAGGTAAAGAATCACGTGAGGATTTACCTAGTTAGGGGGAAGTAACAGATACTTCACATGCTTCAAAAAAACACTTGTATTTTCACAGACTCAGAGAGTTTGCCAAGCTGTATGACACTATTCGAAACGAGAGAAACAAATTTATTAACTTACTTCACAAAGCTCACCAGAAGGTCAATGAAATAAAAGAAAGGCATAAAATGTCATTAAATGAACTGGAAATTTTAAGAAATAGTGCAGTTACTCAAGAAAGGTAAGTGTTATAATAACTACTGTCCTTTCAAAGGTTTCTCTTCTGAGTCACTGAATGATAAAATACCCTGGGGATGATGAAATAGAAAATAACAGTCTTTTACAAAGATAGAAAAGCCCTTGCTCACACACCTTGCTTTGCAGGCTTGCACTGAAAGTGAGAAGGCAATGAAATGTTTATTAATCAGCATCCCATGGCCGTAGACGTGAAGCAGCTAATGTGCTAGTGGGCAGAGTGGTTAAGAGTGGCTTTCTCCTTTAAGAACACTGTGATAGATTGATGTGTTTTCCATCAGTTTACGTGTATAATTGTAACAAAATCAAGGCATGGATGTTACTAGAAAAGAAGCTGTAGAATCATCATACTTGGGAAGAGAAGGAAATATGTGCTTCCTGAAGGAGAAAGAGGGGTGGAGTAAAATGTAGAGCTAAATAAAAATCATTAAAAAAAAACAACAAGTGGTTTTCTAGACTCAAATCCCAACCCTGCCACTTACTCGCTGTGTGACCTTGGGCAGGCTACTCTACGTCCCTGGCCTAACTTTGTTTTACCCCTAGAAATAACTGTTATTTTATAGGACTTTTTATACTAAATGAATTAAATCATGTAAAAATAGCCCACAGTATCTGGCAATTTTTTTTTAATTTATTATCTACCCCGTGCCAAGACCCGGTGGGCTCTTCTACCCACATTCCTGATCCACAGTCTCTACAACCTGAACTTCCTCTGGTGGCCCTGACTGCCCAGGCTCCTTTTATAAACATATTGCAAAATGAGCTCTTGTGTGTAGGGTAGTGAAGGCGGGGAGTGGGGTGGGGGTAGAGGAGGGAGGAGATTGATATAAAAAGGCAAATCAAATTTCCTAATCAGGTTCTCATCCTACATGAAAGTAAAATATCACTTACAGAGGCCACGCAACCATCCAGCATTTATTGTGATGCTACACCGAGTAAGGCATCACCTTAGGCCCTGTGGACACTGTCAGATGTAATCACCTGTGTCCTCAAGAGAGCAGCATCTCCTGGGAACAACAGAGCAGTAAATGAATTACCATACTCTCTTGCTTTGATAAAATGGGGTAGCAGAGACACAAAGGAAAGATGTCCTAATCGAGATTAGGGGGAATCGGAGACCTGACAGATTACAGAAATGCTTGTATCACACAATTAATATCATTTTCACTACTACTATTGTCATTTCAAGGGCCATACTAAAGCAAGAGCTACTTTAATACTGCTCATATTTCAGAAGTCTTTGTTATTTTTAAAGAAACTAAAGGAAATCACAATCTTACCCGTTTCCCCATTATTTTTAAAGAAAGCTACAAAATTCTATGCTGAAACATGCCAACAATGTTACCATCAGGGAAAGCATGCAAAATGATGTGTGCAAAATTGCAGCAAAACTTCAGGAAATGAAGGAGAAGAAGGAAGCCCAGCTGAGTAAAAATGACAGACTTGCCAATATGATCACAATGATTGAAGAAGAGATGGTACAGATTCGCAAAAAATATGAAAAGGCCATTCAGCAACGAAATGAAAGGTAAAACCAGGAATCTGATGTGAGAACAAAGCACCCAGGGATCCTATTCAGAAATGTTACCCGTTTTCCTGTCTAGACCTGACAATGGGTAGTGAGGGGTGTTTGATACTCAGGTTTCATTAGCCTTTGCTGGAGAAGGAGCGGTATGTTTTGCCTGAAAATAAGAAAGTGTCCTCATAAGAGAGTCGGGCAAGAGTAGGGTTTGGGAAGTTGCTCACTTTAAGATCAAAGTTCTTTCTGAGGCTACCATTCAGTTTCAGGATAGCATCAAATTATTTCTGTATAATTGTCATAAATAAGTCTCTGGATCTTGTATCCACTTTGGGGATAGATTTGGTCTTATATTTATAAGTCATTCACCCAGTTCATTTTCTCAGCAAGTGCATAAGACCTTCAAGAATAGCATTATTTCTCCCAGCTATAATTATATTATTAATTGATTACTACTGAACAGTTTTCCCAAGTTGCTTGTGCTCTGAGAAATCTGGCATGTGAGATCACAGAGCCCTGGAGTAATTACATCCGGTATCAGATTTTTTTGCATCAGACCTTGATTGCGTGCTGTTCCGTGTAAGGCTGTGTTCTGCGTAAGTGCTGGGTCCTGAAAGTACAAAGAGGTGGTTAAAGCATTGCTCCTGGCTTCTGTTGTCAAGAGAATGGAGAAGCTCATGCGATGAGCCTAGCAAATGAGACAGAACACAGAGCTAAGATTAACCAAATACAACCCTGAACACACGTTTTGAGGGAGGACAGAGACAGAAAAAGATAGAAGCAATCAAAAAGTGAACTCTGGGGTAACAGATGTGTACAGGGTGTGGGGAGAACTTCAGGGTCATGACGAACACCACTCTTTCAAAGGGCCGGCAAGTGTTCCCTTTGGAAGAGAAAAAAAAAAGTCCTCTCTTTGGCTTCTGGCACTAACCAAAGGATTTAGGCAGTGTGTTCCCAGGCCCTGGTCTGATCTGTGGGGCTGGAATTAGAAAATTTTTACTTTGTTTCTTCCCCATAGTGGCCTCACCAAAAGGAGTCTTCCCCCTGGGGTGATTACAAAGGGCAGGATTTTGCCTGTTAATGGGGAAATGTGCACCACAAGTATTTAGCTTTAAATGAGCCTAATGGGCCTGGCCATGAGATAGAACAGAATAGCTGCAGAAGCACATTCCCTGGCCCCCTGCCTGGGTTCTTCTGGCCAGAACTTGGTTGGCAAGTCTGGCCCATGAAAAGGATCTGCAGAAAATCAGACTATGGGGTCACGCTGTTCATGCCTGGGGAATGGCATTTCCACCCTGGGAAGAACCTCTAGGACTTGCAGAGATAACGTGGCCAGCCAACAACATGTGGTCAGCTGGGTCAAGACACTGAAAAACCCTCCCTTTCCCATGCCCAGAAAAATTCAAAATGTGGAGTTTGACTGGAAAGCCAACTGTGAATATCTGTTGTCTTCTGGAATCATGCAATGTTGATGTGTGTTTTGCACCCAAATCCAGAAGGAACCACGATGACTAGTAAACCAGTGGCTTCGGCATCCTCTTAGCCTCTGCCTCTCATTTTGACCGTAGTGGTATTCAGGTGGTAGAGCGGGGACAAGAAGTGTGCCTTTTTTATGAAAAAATAAATATCCAAGAGAAGATGAAGCTAAATGGAGAAATTGAAAAAAACGTCTTGGAGGAAAAGATCCGCTTCCTGAAACTGAAGATTGCCGAGAAGCAAAGACAGATTCACGTGACCCAGAAACTACTGCCAGTCAAGAGGTCCCTGGATGCCGATCTGGCAGTGCTCCAGATTCAGGTGGGAGAAATGACATACTTCCTTGGGCCATTTGTTGTTTTTTTTTTTTCTCCTTCATTGGTTTGCAGGTCATGTAAGTGCTTACATGTAAATCAAGCCATGCTACTTCTAGTACCTACGAGAACTCTTGAGTTAAATGTCTTGTCTGAAAATGCCTTTGAGGGGGGAGGGTATAGCTCGGTGGCAGAGTGTGTGCCTAGCATGCATGAGGTCCTGGGTTCAACCCCCAGTACCTCCCTTGAAATAAATAAATAAAACGAATTATCTCCCCCTCCAAAAATAAAAATAAAAATAAAAATGCCTTTGAGCACTGACTGCCCCAGGGCAGAATCTGTGCTTCAGGCAACTGGGCTATAGGTTGTCTTTTTTCACTGTGAAGTACTTTCTGCCTTTCTTGGAATTTAGACCCACTCAAATGTCAACTCTAGCTCAGCTTTGCTCAAAATTTCAGTAATCCAGGCTTTCACTCTGCAAGCACGTTTTTAATGCTTGCTGGAAAGATCTTACAGACCATCTAGCTCTCTTAATTCTGGAACTCTTGACCTCTAGAGCCAAGATTGTTGCTTGTTGTTAACTGGCAATTGCGTATAATTAGACTCCTTATTAACCCTTTAGTTTCTCTATAATTTAATAACTTGGCCTCTAACTTGGCCTTTTTAAAAGTGGGACAAAGCCATAAAATAGCAAATAAATACAACTATGAATATAAAATGACTTTTTACATGTAATAATTGCACTTTTTTCTTAATGAAAATAGAAGTTAAACTAAAAATTTGTGGGCTAAACTTTTTTCCATCGACTCAATGTAGCAGAACCACATCTTAACCTGTAACATGTTTCCTAAATGTCAGGTTTGCTTTCAGACTTTTTTTCTGATTGTAAAATTAAGACATGCTCTGTTAATGAAGTTTTGAAAAATACAGAAATGTTAAAAAAGAAAATAAAACTCTATCCCCAAACTATAATCTCTATTAATATAAAAAATCTGGGAAAAATCCTTCTGGTCTTTTTCTAGTTATACAAACAAGTAAATGGTTTTCATTAGCTCATGCTATAGGCAGTTTTGGGTTATGCCTTTTTTTTTTCTAATTTAATCACGGGGATTCACAGGGCTTTGTGGAACTGGATGATGGGTCTACTTTCCTAATTTATGCCATTTGATTATATATATGCCGTATAGGTGATAGGATCTTTCATTTTGTAGAAATAAGCCAAGGTTTTGATTCCAGTGTGTGTTTTTTAGCCATAAGCTCTTCCAGTCACTTCTTCAATAAGTGTAGCCCTCAGTTAGGTGGATTGGCTGGAATGTCCCCTAGGCCTTCCCCAGGTCTCCCACTGAGCCTCCCCAGCATTCCTGCCTCTCTGACTCCTGCTTCCAACGAGTGGTTCATTCGAGGGATCTGCTGGTCAGCTTGTGCACATGGTGCCTGGTCCACTTCTGGCCCAGATTCAGGACTGGCTCCTCCTTCCATCTACAGCCACATGAGACCATTCATGCAAGGCCTTTGTTTGTGAACTGACTTTATTGGAGAACTGGGGCACTAGTGTGAGGGGGTACATTAAAGAAATACAAAGCATTTCAAATTAAATATCAGACAGGTATACCTTCGGAGTTCTGCAGGCCACCCCCACCACTGGGAACAGTCCCTCACCGGGGTATTACCCCAGGCGGCATCCTAGCCTAGCTCCATTTCACCGGCTAGTCTTTCCATCTCTCACCCCCTCATCCCCCTTCCACAGCCTCACCATCCCTGATTGCCCGCCAGGCACCCCACACTTGTCTCACTCTATTTTACAGAAGAATTCATCTCTCTCCAGGTCTTTCCCAAAACACAGTTTCAGGGCCATCTTTGCCCATGCTAAACCATCAGCATGCCCAGCAGAACCAGAGGACTTTAAATTCAGTATGAACCACAACAGAAAAATTCACTCTGTATTATGGAAGCATTTTACTTGTGTTAATTGCAAATTAGTACTTCTATTCAATAGATTAAATTAGTTCTTCCTAAAAAATGTACATCTATACACTTGGCATTTCATTATGTAAAACCAGTTATGTATGAAATATGAATTCAGTCCACCTAAGAGGAAACTGCTATGCATCAGTGATCGTACATCCTGCCTGGTGGGAGCCTTTACATTCTGACTGCATGTGACTCAACACAGGGACTGTGTGTCATCAGTTACCTGTTCTACCAGTGTTAGTTCTAAGCTTGAGAACACTTGAATAGAAAGTTTCCTATTATTCTTCAAACTGCACCCATTTATTTAATTGTCTACTCAGCACTAATCACGTGGGCCCTTTGAAGGACATGATGTGAAATGTCAAGTGTTGGACAAGCCATGTTTGTGCTCGGTCATGCAGTGCCGGATCCGTGTCATATCCTGTTATTTGTTATAGCTGCAGTGTTGTGTGTGTATGTGTGTTTTCCCCAAGCTTCCCCTTTTTGTATCATTTTCAGGATTCTCTTAAGGTTTGTATTTTTTCAGTGGCTTGAAACAGTTTCTAATCGTCCAGCAGGCTAATCCAAGGATTATCATGAGTCATATTTTCCTGCAATATTTTACTTGTAATAATAGCTCCTTTTTAGGGATCTTGGAAGTCATGTGAACTCTTTTCAGACACAATAACACTATGTTATACAGAAAAAGGAAACAGTTTTTCCTCTAAGGCCCATGGGAAAATGAGATCAATCAAGGCACCGCTTTGATAAGAAGCACCATATTTTTGCTTCTTAATTTCCTAGTTAACATAAGGAGACATTAAATGTTAATAATAAATACAATACACGCTCAATTACACATACATGGATATTTTAACTCCATATTAAGGACAATTAAGTGTGGAGAGAAAGGAAGAAAATAATTACTCTTGTCACCATTTGAAATTCTTTTTATTGGGAGGAGGAGCATACATTTTAAAAGTTTAAATCCTCCCTGTATCCCTCTTGGACACACTGTAAAGTACTTTAAATATATTATCTCATTTAAAGGGTCAACCCTAAGAGATTGGGACCTATTTTCCCATTTGATAGTTGGGGAAACGAAGGTTTAGAGAAGATAAATGATTTGCCTGAGATTATACAGATTTTCAGTAGGAAAGCTGAAAATGATGACTCTCGGTTTTCAGTGTGTTCTGCATCTCTCCCTATAAAACAACTGAGTGTGGCTGCCACTTTTACTTGGGAGTTTCTGTATTTCTTCATCCACCTCCAAAGTTTCATTGCATTAGCAAATATAGTTGATATATAAACCATTACATTGGGTGTTTAGCAAAAAAGGTACAAACAGTTCAGGCTATTCCTCACAGACTGTACACTGTGTTGAACTAGTAATTAAGAACTTTATTGTTCTTTGGGAAGCCACTAAAACTACTGCAGCAAAGGATGTTAAACTGGAGTCTAGTACATCGTGTACCTTGTATGTTGTCTACCTTGGCCCGTGTAATAGTGTGCAGTGAAGCGGTCACATTTGTACAGTCAGAGCTCTGCAACCACACAGCGTCCCATGAGCACAACACAAACTGGGAAGTAATCGAAGGACTGGGTGTAAAATCAGCTTTATCTTTGATGACCCAGAAGTCATTGCCTTGCCTCACAGGGTCAGTTACAGGCACCTTCCTCACAGTACCATGAGTGAGCAGAATCATTGCTTAACCACAAGTCCCAGCTGATGGGGTCTTAAGAATTCCCTTCCACCTTTGCCTGGAAAGACCCTAAAGGCCCTGCGCTACGTGACTTTAAGATTTCCTGAGCAAAGTTAATGTTTTTTTCTTGTTTAATAGTTTTCACAGTGTACGGACAGAATAAAAGACCTGGAGAAACAGTTTATAAATCCTGAGGGTAAGAACAGAACGCGCTTCCTTCCAGGAAAAGATATGACCGAAGAAGAAATGATCAAAAAAATGGATGCGGTAAACGTCCTGTCTTAAAATAGCACCTATCAGCCCCTTGTTGACCAGTGTCACAGGCATCTGTGGTACTGTTTCAAGTTATGCAGATTTAGCCTCATTATGCTAGTCACTAATACAGTCCTTTCATTGTAATCTAGTCACAAAGCCTAAGCTTGACGGTAGATCCTTGTCGAAAGGAACCACACCTGAGTGGTTTTAAGATACTCGCTGTTGTCGCACAGCCCACAGGAGAAGTGTGGGCATCTTGAATGGACTAATTCGTCTTCCCGATGGGAGCATATTGGAGGAACGGCAGTGGAAGCTACATGCAGCTGAGAGAGCCGTTCCCTCCCAAGGGGAGGAGGACTGTCCCAGCTCTCTGGGGGGGTTGGGGCAGGGGAAGTCTTGACTTAGTCCAGCTCTAAAGACTTTCTAGACTTATCTTGGCAACTATGAAAGCAAGGTGTCTTTATGAAGGGGGAAAAATAGTGCTCTAATTAGGAAGATTTTGACTTGCATGACTTTTTTTTATCCTATTGAAATTGTTTCCAACTATAGCTGGAACTACAGTTGGCCAAGAAGGAGGAGAAGCTGCTGGAGAAGGATTTCATCTACGAACAGGTTTCCCGGCTCACGGACAGGCTCTGCAGCAAAACTCAGGCCTGCAAGCAGGACACACTGCTCTTAGCCAAGAAGGTCTGTCCCTGCCTCCTCCCTTCTGTCCTTCCCCCTCTGTCACCTTCCATTTTCCACAGATGGCTTCATCTATTGAGAGAAGTCCTGGAGAGATTAGGTTTAATGACTAGGGAAATACAAAGAAGTAAAATTAAAAATGTAAAAATGACTCTTGGAGAATTGTCCACAATAAGTTTTAGTCTTGTTCTCTGAATGAATTCACTTTGTAGCGGGAAAACCTAAGCTTTTCAATGACGGTATACACGTTTCATTCAACAGGGTACCTGTCAAATACAACGGTTATTATCTTGATGTTTCATGTGCCACGTTAAATCCTTTCTAGTTCCTTGTGAAGGGGGCCTCCCTTATCCAGGGGTCAGCAAGGGAACTGCCCTAATCCCGAAGTCAGCCGGAACCCAGCCATGGAGGGGACCATTAAAGAGTGCAGTCACACAACACCTGGCCTATTACACCCTGGGGTGGAGCCACCACCAGCCCCACTAGTGAGGAAAGGCTAGTCATGTGGAGCTTCTCATTTCATAAGCTTCAAATACTAGGACTACTGATCCAAAGGATCAGCCAGCAGGAGAGAGGCTGGTGATTCAGACACAGCAGGACCTCACTCCACAGGGCGTCAGAGGGTCGGCTGCCTGCCGGGCCTCCCTCTGTGACAGCACAGGAACTTTAGTCAGTCAGCAACAGTTACTGGAGCTGCTGTGCAAAAGGGAGAGGGACACACTGTCCACAGCATCCAGTGGGGGAGACAGTTAAGAAGACACCATATAGAATGGTGACACCCACACCCCCAACTGTGGGCTCCTGATGACAGTGACTGTTCCTCATTCTTAATTTTCCCAATGCCTCACGTTGGTAAACTCTAGAAAAACATTTATTGGATAAGTAAACAGTCTTGTTTTTAGAAACAGTTCTGGCACACTGAATAAATAGGAAATTATTGTAAATCTCAAGCCTTCTTGGCCATTTGTATTTGGC